AAAGGCAAATTTCAGTTTAAAATCAGACCCATGAATAGATTTAATTCTTTTTCTTAAAAAAGATTTATTTATTTTGTTTATTTTATTCAAAAGGCAGAGCAACAGAGAGAGAGAGAGAGATCATCCGTCCACTGGTTTACCTCCCAAATGGCCACAATAGCCCAGGCTGGGCAAGGATGAAGCTAGGAGTCAGGAACTCCATCGAAGTCTCCCATGTGGGTGGACAGAGGCCCAAGGAGCTGGGTCATATTCTGCTGCCTTCCCAGGTGCACAGTATCAGCACAGCCAGGACTAGAAACAGCACTCTTGTTTGCTATGCAGATTTCACATGCAGCAACTTAATCCACTTGTACTACAACGCCCGCCTGTAGATTTAAGTCTTGAGAGCTGGCTTCTTAGGGGCCATGGATTTATTCCTGTTAAACACTAGGAAAAAAAACTTAAATGATTTTAAAATGAAAGACTTTCGGGAATTTATATCAATCTGTTTCCCACTTATTTTTACCTTTCTGTGAGCCTCAGGGTCATCACCAAAAACATGAATTGTGGCCAAATGCTGGATCAATGCCTGTATCCTGTGAGACCAGTAGGTTCAGGCAACTGCGCTTTTAAGTTCTGGGAGCTTTCTAGGTTATGCCATTCTCTGTCTCTTCTGCTGCTGCTGGTGTTTCTCCCATAGGAGCTATACCTCTTCCTTAGAACTTTCTGTTTTCAGACCCTCAGTGTCCCTCTGTATCCATTGGGGATTGGCTTCCAGAGCCCTGAAGATCCCCAAATCCATTGATGATCCAGTCCCTTGTACAAAATACTGTAGGAGTTGCATAGAACCTGTGCAATTGTCCCATATACTTTAAATATCCCTAGTTTACCTATAGCTAGTACAGTGCAAATACTATGGAAATTGTTGCTACACTGTGTAGAAGATAGGGAAAAATTCTGTACCTGTTGAGTACAGACATTGTTTTTTAGAATATTTTTGATACACAGTTGGTTGAATCTATGGATGTAGAACCCTCAGATACACAGGCCAGCTGTGTTGTAAACTTGGAAACTACACACACTGTCTAAGTTAGGTACAGGTTAAAAGCAAACACATGCAGGCCGGCACCGCAGCTCAGTAGGCTAATCCTCCGCCTTGCGGCACCAGCACCCCGGGTTCTAGTCCCGGTCGGGGTGCCGGATTCTGTCCCGGTTGCCCCTCTTCCAGACCAGCTCTCTGCTGTGGCCAGGAGTGCAGTGGAGGATGGCCTAAGTGCTTGGGCCCTGCACCCCATGGGAGACCAGGAGAAGCACCTGGCTCCTGCCATCGCATCAGCGCAGTGCACCGGCCGCAGCACGCCGGTCGTGGCAGCCATTGGAGGATGAACCAATGGAAAAGGAAGACCTTTCTCTCTGTCTCTCTCACTGTCCACTCTGCCTGTCTGTGTGTGTGAGAAGGTTATAAAAGAGCAAACACATGCTCCATCAGGATCTAAAGATGGCAATGTTCTAATGTGTAGACTCGTATAGACTTTGTCACTCAATTTTGATGCTCAAGGACCATGAATTTGTTGGCTCTCAACTCTGTTGTCAGCAGATAACTGCATTCCTGAAAGTCACCATGTCACAATGTTTAGTTTTGAAATTTTTCCTGACAGAAGTGTAGGATTTGTTATGAATGAATGATGGTAGGATGAAGAAGAGTTACTGAAACTTAAGAGAGGGTCAGGTTCAAGGACATTGCCCCATTACCCGTCTCTGTGTCACCATCTGCCCAGTTGATCTGTGTGCAAAGGACGGATAGGCACGGTCTGCCTCAGTCATGCTCTGATCCGGTGCAGGGCTCTGCCAGGATAGAATAGTTCCAGCTCACGCAAGCTGTCCACCCAGTCCTTTGTCAGCACAAAGAGATCTGGCTTCGAAGTACAGGTGCGCAAGTTTTTTTTGTTTGTTTGTTTGTTTGTTTGTTTGTTTTTACAAAAGCACTGAATTTCTTTGACCTTTGAAATGGAAGACGCGTCTGAGGGAATGTCCTGGTGTCTGAATTTCAGCTACCAGATTCAAAACACAGCCTTGTGGGAGGATTCTGGTGAAAATTCTGACTACACTTGTGGCTTTTGGGCCCCGGGACCCTGTGATTATGAATCCATTCTTAAATTGTACATTCCATCAGCCCCATTATTGCTGTCTCCTAGAAATGGATTCAGTCTTGTGGAACAGCAAAGATGATATGAAGTTGTACTTCCAGTGGATGTTTTAGGTTCAATATTCTAGTCTCTGTGGAGTGATACCCTTGATACGTTAGGAACTTACGTGTCTTGCTGTGAGTTAGGGTCTGGAGGCCTTCCACTTCCACAAGGTGCCTGCACCAAGAGAGTACGAGGCAAAGCAGAGGAGTGGCCAGGATTTAATTTTCATCACCTGATTTTTGATTTGTGCCTCCAGAATCAACAGCAGCTTTTAGTAAGCTGTTCCCAGTGCCATCTAATGAATGGCTCTTGCACTGCACATACTGCACCTGGTTTATTTTTAAAGATTTTTGTTTTATTTATTTGAAAGGCAGAGTTACAGAGAGAGATGGAGACAGAAGCAGAGACAGAGAGATCTTCCCTCCACTGGTTTACTCCTCAGATGACCACAGTGGCCAGGACTAGGCCGTGCAAAAACCAGGAGCCTAGAACTCCACCCATGTGGGTGGCAGGAGTGCGAACATCTTCTGTTGCCTTCTCAGCCACATTCGCAGGCAGCCGGATCAAAGTAGAGCAGCTGGGACTGGAATCTGTGCCCCTATGGGACGCTGGGTGTCACAGGTGGTGGCTTAACCCGCGATGCCGCAGCACCAGCCCTGTCCCTGTTCCTGAAGCCCCTGGTGTACTGACTCCCCGTGAATGACTCAGACCCCAGAAATAAAGTAAGATGCTATTTCTAGCTAAGAAGGAGATTTCTTATCTCTGTACAGGCTCCATGTCCGTGGATTCAGCCGTCCTCAGATCAAACATACTCAGAGAAAGAAAAAAAAGCCAAGTATGCTGAACATGTACAGACATTGTTCCCTAAGCAATGTAACAATTATTTACCTGGCATTCACCTTACATCAGTACTCTAAGTCATCCTGAGATGTGTAAAGAGGGACAACTGTGTTACATCTGGGAGGTACAGTCGTGACACAGAACGTTTAAAGGATCCAGCTAGAAGGCTATGTAATTCCGTTAGACTCGGAGTGCCAACTCCCAGTGATAGGAGAGGATTCTGTGAGGCTAGAGGAAGGGTGGGGACAGAACGGGACAAGCAGGAAGGCTTACATGAGAATAGTGTGCTCGGGGGCCATTCAGGGCAGCAGCAAGACTTGGACATAGGGTCCAGGAAAACTGCTGAAGGCCCCCTCGAAACCAAGCCTATGTGTGTGAGGCCTGAGGATGACCATTTAGGCTTCCTGACAGTTTTGAGCAAAATAGTGTTACGATGAATGCCATGCAGAAGGCAGATTAGTTTTGTGTGTAAATGAGATGGGATAACGTCAGCCAAGAGGCTCCTTTCATAATCTGCTCATAGATTGCCATGGACCTCGGCTAGGCTGTGGCAGATGAAAGTGGTAGCGTAAGAAGAACTTGGCATACAGCACGTTCTATGGCTGTGACTTGACAGCCCATATTATTGCCTTGTAGTGGTAGTTGAGACCTGGAGGGATCCTCCAGAAAGACGGAATCCTTCCACTGTGTGTCAGGTTAGATGAATTGGAGAGGAGGAGGAGGTAGGAATGATAAGGGAGAATCATCCACATAACACTTCGGAATGTGTGTGTGAGTCAATAAAAGAAACAAGGTACGTGTGTGTGTGCCTCTCTCAGCATTGGGCTGGACCTAGAAACAGGGTAGAGAAACCACTGCTTGTAGTTTCCAGAATGCTGCTCAGCTTTCTTGTCGAACTTGGTGTCCCGTTTGTTGTCAGTGACATCACCATCCTCTTACTTTCCAAACCAGCAACTTCCAGACTGGAAATTCCCTTTTATCTTGATTCTTTTCCTTGATCTCTGTATCCAATCACCTGGAAATACTTTCTCTCTCTCTTTAAAGTCCATTTTATCATGATCCTGTCCTCAGCATCCTCTTAACACCTCTATCCTAAGTCTCCTTGCAGTTAGATTTCTTTCACTGGGCATTGATATCTGGCCATCTTACAAATACCTGGGTGGAGGCAGGTGGTGTGTGCTAGAATTTAATGTGTCAAAGTATTGTAAAAAAAATTAAAAAGTACTGAGACATGAAATTTGCTTTTATAGACAAAATTTTTTTGTTGTAACTGTCTAAAACATTTGGCTAACTCCATTGCATTCGACATGGAAGCCGCTCCCCAGAGGCCCTGGTGTCTGCCACTGTGCAAGATGTAATCTAGAGATTCTGCACATTTTATAAAAGATGAAGAAGCGCATCTCAACGTGAACCAAGTGTGGTGAGGGTGAAAAGTGAAACCCACACTTGGATGGCAGAGGCAAGGCACTGCCTGAGGCTTCTGTATTTCAAGACGTGAATCCCTTTCTGGAACAAGAGCCAATAGAGCTTCTGAAAGTTGGGTTTTGGAGAGTTGTGGGAAAAAAAAAAAACCCAGAGTCTTTTCCATTTTATTAGGAATCAAAGAGCTCCTGACAGTAAGAAAACCTGGACAAGATATGACTTTCTTCTCATATAAATTATCTTAGTCCATTTTCCTGGTACATAAAAAAAATGATGCCCCAAATATCTTAAATATGGTTGGACTTACCAGCGACACAGTAAACTTAAATATAATTTACCTGAAGCAGCATGGTCATCAGAAGGATTTTGATTAAATGTGGTGTAATGCTAATCTAATGTAATCAAAATAACTAAACTCTGATACCGTTTCTAAAGAATAAAGCTAGGTTGTGAGATTAAGTATGACATTCTTGATATGATTCATATCCTTATGTTTATGGTGTAATGCAACCCATCTGAATATTCATGATGTTATTTTCAGCCAGTAAGAACATCCATTCTGTTTTTCAGCTTCTCCAGTTGGCAACGGTTATATCAAGCCGCCAGTTCCACCTGCTTCTGGCACACACAAGGAGAAAGGGCCGCCAACCATGTTACCCATCAGCGTGGACCCAGACAGCAAACCAGGAGAATATGTCCTCAAGAGCTTATTCGTCAACTTCACCACTCAGGCTGAGCGCAAGATTCGCATCATTATGGCAGAGCCCCTGGTGAGTGTGTGCCACAAAACCCACCCCTTTCTCCATCTATCTATGCACTGAATGCAGTCAGTTCTCTGTGTCCATAGGTTTCACATCTGTGGATTCATCCAGCTGCAGACCAGAAATCTTAGGGGGAAAATTGTATTTATAGTAAAGAATTCCAGACTTTCTTTCTTGTCATTATTCCCTATTCCCTGAGTAGTACAATACAACAATGATTTTCATGGAGTTAAGGTTTATGGGAAGATATGTACAGGTTCAGTGAAAATACTATGACCTTGTATTTGAAAGATTTGAGGGTCCAAGGGCAAACTCTAGCCCCAGAGATGCCAAAGGATAACTGAATACAAGACTTGACCACTGTCACAAAAGGTGGATTGCTTTTCTCCTAATTTGCGAAGATTGTTTTTTTTTTTTTTTTAAACTTTTATTTAATGAATATAAATTTCCAAAGTACAGCTTATGGATTACAATGGCTTGCCCCCCATAACGTCCCTCCCACCCGCAACCCTCCCCTTTCCCACTCCCTTTCCCCTTCCATTCACATCAAGATTCATTTTCGATTCTCTTTATGTACAGAAGATCAGTTTAGCATATATTAAGTAAAGATTTCAACAGTTTACTCCCACACAGAAACATAAAGTGAAAAATACTATTTGAGTACTAGTTATAGCATTAAATCTCAATGTACAACCCACTAAGGACAAAGATCCTACATGAGGAGTAAGTACACAGTGACTCCTGTTGTTGACTTAACAAATTAACACTCTTGTTTATGGCATCAGTAATCACCCTAGGCTCTTGTCATGAGTTTCCAAGGCTATGGAAGCCCCCTGAGTTCACTGACTCTGATCATATTTAGACAAGGCCAGGGTCAAAGTGGAAGTTCTCTCCTCCCTTCAGAGAAAGGTACCTCCTTCTTTGATGACCCGTTCTTTCCACTGGGATCTCACTCGTGGAGATCTTCATTTTTTTTCCCCAGAGTGTCTTGGCTTTCCATGCCTGAAATACTCTCATGGGCTTTTCAGCTTGATCCGCATGCCTTAAGGGCTGATTCTGAGGCCAGAGTGCTGTTTAGGACATCTGCCATTCTATGGGTCTGCTGTGTATCTCACTTCCCATGTTGGATCATTCTCTCCCTTTTTGATTCTATCAGCTAGTATTTGCAGACACTATTCTTGTTTATGTGATCCCTTTGGTTCTTAGTCCTATCATTATGATCAATTGTGCACAGAAATTGATCACTGGGACTAGTGAGATGGCATTGGTACATGCCACCTTGATGGGATTGAATTGGAATCTCCTGGTATGTTTCTAACTCTACCGTTTGAGGTAAGTCAGCTTGAGCATGTCCCGAATTGCACATCTCTTCTAATGAAGAACTGGATTAAGGATTCCTCTGGGTTGCCTTTAGAAATCTCTCTTTTTTTTAATAATAGGTAAAATCCAACAATTTTATGTAGTACAAGCAAGTGGTATTTATCCCACGTAAGCAAGGCTGTCAGCATTTTAAAAAATCAATAAATTGGACATACTACACAAACTGCAAAAATGTTAAATGATTACATCAACTTTTGTAGAAGATATTTGGCATAAAAAAACTGAGCAAACAAGAAACAGAAGAGAAATTCCTCATCTAGATAAAGAATATCTACCAAAACCAACTTTAATAGTGAAATTGGACAGTTTTCCCTTAAGTTGGGGAAAGGGGGAAGTGTCTTTTTCTCACCACTACTTTTCAATATTATGGTGGAATTACTAGACAGTGCAGTAACACAAAGAAAGGATACAAAATGCATACATATTGGGAAGGAAGACATAAAACTGCTAGCAAATGTCATTATTGCATGTATAGAAAATTCAAAAATACATCATAAGTACCCCTGGAACAATGTTAGTGTAGCAAAGTGGCGAATTACATGTACAATTTGATTGTTGTTCCATGTATGGGTAAGAGCTAGGATTTGAAATTTAAAAACAAAATTAAGCATCATTTAAAATTGCATCAGGTTAAAAAGCAAATCCCAATCGGTGTCTTTTAACTGGACAGTTCAGGCCATTAACGTTCAATGTGACTAATGAAAAGTGGTAACTTTGCCCTGCCATTTGCCAAAGATAAGTTCTAATATATGCTTTGAATTCCCTGTGATCTTTTGCTGTGAGGTTTCCTTCCTTTATCTTCTTTCATACTGATGACCGTGTTTCTGTGTTTCTGTGTGTAACACATCTTTAAGCATCTGTTGCAGGGCTGGACGAGTGGTGACAAATTCTTTCAATTTCTGTTTGTTATGAAACGTCTTTATTTCACCTTCATTCACAAATGATAGCTTTGCAGGATATAATATTCTGGGCTGGCAGTTTTTCTCTCTTAGTACCTGGGCTATATCTCGCCATTCCCTTCTAGCTTGTAGAGTTTCTGATGAGAAGTCAGCAGTGAGTCTGATTGGCGATCCTCTGAAAGTAATCTGACGTTTCTCTCTTGCACATTTTAGGATCTTTTCTTTATGTTTCACTGTGGAGAGTTTAATTACAACGTGTCGTGGTGAGGATCTCTTTTGGTCGTGTTTATTAGGGGTTCTGTGAGCTTCCTGTACTAGGATTTCTCTGTCCTTCTCCAAACCTGGGAAATTTTCTGCTAATATCTCACTAAAAAGGCCTTCTAATCCGTTCTCCCTCTCCATGCCTTCAGGAACTCCTAGAACCCGAATGTTGGGTTTTTTAATAGTATCCTGAAGATTCCTGACAATATGTTTTAGATTTCTAATTTCCTCTTCTTTTCTTTGATCTGACTGTATCCTTTCCTGTTCTCTCTCTTCTAAGTCCGATATTCTCTCTTCTGCTTCACCCATTCTGTTTGTAAGGCTCTCTATTGTGTTTTTCATTTGATCTATTGAATTCTTCACTTCAGTCACTATCACAGTTTCCTGTTGTACTAATTGTTTCGTTTCATTTTGATTCCTCCTTAATATTTCATTTTCACGAGAGAGATTTTCTATCTTGTCCATTAAGGCTTTATGTAGTTCAAGAATTTGTTTTTGAGAACTTCTTAATGTTCTTATCAATTTTTTGAGATCTGCTTCTTGCATTTCTTCTATGTCATCATCTTCATAATCTTGAATTGGGGTGTCTTTTTCATTTGAGGGCGTCATGGTGACTTCCTTGTTTTTATTACCTTGGTTTTTGCGTTTGTTATTTGGCATATTGGAGATATTTGGTTTCTTCACTGTGGTGCTTTTTCTTGTTATACTATGACTCTAGATTAAGTGGACTATCTGTTTTTGATGGAGCCTTAGGGCTTGAGATGGGTGTGGCCTGAGAGCTCTGTTTGGTGTCCCAAAGGTGACACTCCCAGGTTAGGAGTGGTAAATCTCTCTCTCTCTCTCTTTCTTTTTTTGATTCAAAAGGGAAGTAATTCCGCACAGCTGAACGAAGTTGGAGGTAGTTAGCAGGCAAATGATATACCCACAGGAGCCAGAGATTGGAAGCTCTTTCCCAAGGACCACACAGGGAATCTGTTTGGCCCTCAGAGTGGGTTCAAATTCTCCTTCAGTCTCCCACTGGGTTGCCAAAGTTACGGAATTGTAGCGTCTCTGGAGAGTACTCAGGTGAATTCCGTGAGTTCTCTCCCCCACCGTCTCTTTTTTCACAGTCTCAGTTCAGTAGCACCACAAATTTACTAGGTCCTAATCTCCTGTTAATTAGCCCCGCCCAGAGTCAGGGTTTTCTGCTAGGCTCAGGGCCAGTGCAGACCTGAGGTCGCTCTGCTTATGACGTATGTCCAAGATGGCGCCTGCTCTTTGTCTTGCTCGCCCTTGAGAGGTGAGCAGAGAGAGAGAAACCCGTGTCCGTACCAGTCACTTTTTTTTTTTTTTTTCTCTCTCTCTCTAGCCTGGTGAACTTTTCCCCCACTGGGGTCGTTCCCTCTAGTCTCTCTCCGCTTGCCTGCCGGTGTCTCGGGCTATTGAGGTTCGGCTCACCTTGCGTTCCAGCGCTGGTGTGTTGAGTCTGCCGCTGGTGTCCCGAACTGTGGGCTCCCACGCTCTCCACACAGGTCCGCTGTGAATCACGCGTTCTGGAAGAGTTTCTTCTGCTGTTTCCTCCCCTACTCTTCCTTGAACCTGCAGTATCTCCACTTTTATTAAACTATCTCTCCCCGGACTATCAGTGTGCTCCCTTCCTATTCCGCCATCTTGCCTCTGATCCACCGAAGATTGTTTTTTTAAATAAAGATCATTGGTAACTTAAAAAAAAATAAGTTCCTGATTTAAGAGGAAAAAAATTGAGGATTAATGACTTTAAACCAATCTTCAGCACATACAATTCAATGGCATAACTCACTGCTGCATTTCCAACTAAATAATTTAACAAGAATGAATATAAATCATAGAAAAATTGTATTCAGAGTTCTTGATGTATGTAAGGACACATGGAATAGTAGGATTGAAAGATAAAATGTGGTCTCCCATGAACTTTCTGAAGATGTGTATATACATTAGGCAGACTCTTTTGTCCTATTTTTAAAGTAAATAAGGAGGGTGGGGGAAGAGTCATCATTCCTTAAGTAGCTGCCTAGACTTTTCAACTTGAAATCAGAGGGCTCTCTGTACCCTGTTGTCGGAGGAAGTGTGTTGGGGAGTGGTTCAGAAACACCACTTTGACTGCTAAAAACTGGATGACGGGGGAATTTTACCTCACCTCTAAGTCTCTTACTAGACAGATGAGACCCTTGGACATCTGGGCTTTCTTTGCAGATGTTTGTGCTGGAGTGTAAGGTGTGTGTCAGCCTGATGTTAATTGCTCTAGCAGGGCTGTAAGGAGGCTGAATCACCAAAGGACAATCCGGAAGGAAGAGAATGCAATTGGTAGATTCAGATTACAATACTTGTTTTCTGACCTTGGGGGAGCCGCACACAATAAGAAAAAAGAAAGGAATTTAGAGTGACAGCTGTTTCTGGGAAGCCAGGCTTTGTACCTCCTGTGGGGATATACCAAGGCAATGAGGAGATAAT